GGGGGGTTGCGCACGCACGTGTGTTTGCGTGCGCGCGTATGTGTGTGTGTGTGTGTGTGTGTGTGTGTGTGTGTGTGTGTGTGTGTTTGCGCGCGCGTGCGTGCGGGCGTGCGTGCGTGCTGCTTTACCATGCATGCACGTGTGCCTTCGAGAGTGATTCCGTGTGTGATCCAGAGGGTCGTGTGTTGTTTTTGACCTCGTGGCATGCACAGCTGTTCTCAGTCTCGGATACCCCACGCTAACAACCGCCTAAAACCTGCGATCGCCCCGCTCTGCGCCCAGCTCATCAAGCAAGCGGAGCGGCGGCAGCAGGAGCAGCCCGCGGCTGGGCAGGGCGGCGGCGCGGCCGGGGAGCTGCCTGTGGAGGTCAAGGCGCAGCTGGCGGTGCTGGCGCAGCAGTGGCCGGTGGCGGAGAGCCTCCTGCTGGCACAGGGGCGGGTGGACGACACCATAGCTGCTTACAGGGATGCCCACAGGTAGGAAGGTTACAGCTGCACGCTGAGGGCAATTGGGGCAGGGGTGGCGCAGAGATGGAAGGCGGAGAGCCGATACAGGGGGGTTGGGGTTATGGTGTTCGCAGGGTGAGGCGTGGCTAGGGGTGGGTGAGGGAGGCAGGCAGGGCAGCCGCTGAGGGGCAGCTGGCGCTCGGAACCTGTGATCGGTTCGTTTGCGTTTTGTTGTGGTTATGGCGTGCGTGAGCAAATACACGCTCGTGCCCCAGTTGCCCCCACCACACTCATATTCCATCCCCATTGCCTCCCTCTCTTCCTGATTAACTCCTTCCTATCGCCCTCATCACTCACGGAGCACATGCCCCCCTTCCTTCCGCCTTTCCTGACGCTTGCGCTCACACCGCCCCCCTCAGATGGGAGGACGCCATCCGCGTCGCCGACACCAGCCGCCACCCCGGCAGCGACGACCTCCGCGCCGCCCACTTCAAATGGCTGCTCTCCACCGGTCAGGTGCAACTTGAGGAGCATACCACGGGTCATGCTCCATGCAGAGCGCTGGCGTGCCGCCGGTGCCTTTTAATTATGCTTGCTTGACTCCCAAGCACGGTCAGGCCAAGCCAAGCCGTTGGGTCCAGGCCTCCATTCGCCCGACAGGGCGCGCTGCCGCCCACTTAGCCCGCACGCGCCGTTCGCTGTATGCGCGCGCTCCGTCCAGGAGGACAAGGCCGGAGCCGGGAAGGAGCGCGAGGGCGACCTGGCGGCCGCGATAGCGCTGTACCTCAAGGGCGGAGCCCCTGCCCGCGCGGCGCAGGTGACCAGCAGGATAACACCCAGGCGGAGGGGTGCAGTGCAGCTGCGGCACCGCGCTCGGCTGATCAGTCCCCCGCTGCAAGCGCTCACGCATCCGACGGGCTGCCTTCGCGGAGTCCACGTCGTGCAACAGCCCCCTTTGATTGACTGAAATTCACCCTCGCCACCCGACGCAGGCCGTCGTGGCTCACCCAGGGATCGCCTTTGACCCCGCCCTCCTGGCCGCCGTCGCCGCCGCCCTGACAAAGGCCGGGCTGCACGAGCGTGCGGGCGACCTCGCCGCGGCGCTGGGGCGGCCGCTGGACGCGCTAGCTGCTTACAGGAAAGGCGGCGCGTACCGCAAGGCTGTCGAGCTGGCGCGCGGCGCGGCGCCCGCCCAGGTCAGTGGCAAGGGCTTCACGGCGTTCGTCTTCCGGGCCCCCGCGTTGCGTCTCGCGCCCCTTTTGCTGTTTTGGCGCGTCGGCTGCTCGCTCAACGCAGGCAGGCTGCTATTCTGGTCGCGTTGAGCTGCGTTGTCGTCATGTGTGTATGCAGTGGTGGTCCTCCCACATTTGAAGCGTGTGTGTGGCCTCAAAGCCAGCAGTCGACCCGCGCGGTCAGGTGATCGTGCTTGAGGAGGAGTGGGGCGACTGGCTGGCGTCCCAGCGGCAGATGGACGCCGCCATCAACCACTTCATAGAGGCGGGCGTGGCGGCCAAGGCCATTGAGGCCGCGCTGGCGGCGCGGCAGTTCCCCAAGGCTGCGGGTGAGCCGCAGGGCGGGCACAGCCTGGCGCATGGATCTGGCCACGGGCGCTGATCTGCGCAATGACTTGGCACTTCAAGGCTGGCTCCGCAGCTCGTCACCGTGCCGCTTTTCAAGTTGAGGATGCGTACCGCAGCACATGTGCGTAGCGTAACCTGCATCGGCAGGCGTCACCTTACTGTCCCCTGGCCAACAGGCATCATCGAGCACCTGGATGCGTCCCAGGCCGCGCCCTTCTTCAAGCGCATCGCCCAGCACTACGCCGCAAACGGTGCGCCCGCGCGGCGCTGCTGCGAGCCGCCCCAAATTGGGTGTGTCACCCTCTTCGCACCTTTGTGTGCATAGGTTTATGGTGCGTGCACGCAGAGTGTGTGTGTGTGTGTGTGTGTGTGTGCATGTATGTGTGTGTTCATGTGTGCGTATACGAGCGTGAATGCGCACACGCTGAAACATCACAGCAGGATCGGATTGGCGACACTGCCGGCGTTTCCCCTCCGCCACGCAGGCGGGCTGGCCGAAGCGGAGGGCTACTGGCTCAAGGCAGGCCTGCCGCTGGAGGCTGTGGAGATGTACACCCGCGCAGGTCAGGGGCAATTCAATCATGATATGATATCGACATCAGCAGAAGGCGCTGCAGCGTAACAAGGGGGCGCAAATTGGGAGCAGCAGCCGTGCAACAACAGAGCCCACATGGGCTGGGCTTGCTGCCATGCACGGCCTGCCGTCGCCGGGTGTCCTTTCGACCCCTTGCTTGGCATATTGTGTGCCACCATCCTGTCAAGGGCCTATCTGTCCACTCCAGTGTCTCAACCCTGTCGTGCCCTGGCAAACCCACTCAGGCAAATGGGAAGCCGCCCAGAAGGTGGCGCGCGGCTACCTGCCGGAGGGGGAGCTGAGACGCTTCAACGCCCAGCGCGCCAAGGAGGCCGAGGCGGCCAAGAATTGGAAGGAGGCGGAGCGCGGGTACTTGGCGGCAGGGGAGGCGGAGGCCGCGATCGGCATGTACAAGCGGAATAGGTGGGTTGTGCGTGGCAAGCAGCCCGAGGCCGGTCAAACGTGTGCGGAGGTGGGGTCGACGCTGCGTTGCTCACGATGTGTCGTCGTGGTGTGCTGCGCTCCGGTGGTCGATCCACGCTGTGCCGTCCTGCGCCGCGCCGGGCTTGACTACGCGTTGCTGCGCCGTCAGCAACGAATACTGAAGCAGACTTTTGATTTCAGCACGGCTTGTCATTGGGGACATGCCCTGCATCTCGTATTGCACCCCGAGCCAATCTTTGCATACCTATTAGTTTTCACTACAACCACCTCGCAGGATGTGGGAGCCCATGATCCGGCTTGTGGGGCAGCACCGCCGAGAGAACCTGCCAGAGTCGCACCTGCTGGCGGCGCAGGCGCTGCAGCTGGAGGGGCACTGGCGGGAGGCGGAGCGCCACTTCACAGACGCGAAAGACTGGAAGGCAGCCGTCGCCATGTACACGTGAGCATGCGTACGCGCGGCATCGCGAAGCCTGCAGGTCGCCGCGTGCTGTGGTGCCGCTGCTGCTGGGTTCCCCGCCGCTGGTGCTTTGTTGAATTGACGGCTGGCTGAGTGCACTGAGCTGTTGACACTCTTTTGCTGCTGCCCTTCTGAGCACAAAACCGTCCATTCAACTTCCATCGTTTTTTCAAACGCCGGCACCGACAGCTCCCAGGGCAGCTGGGAGGACGCCCTGCGTGTTGCCAAGGCCCACGGCGGCGCGGCCGCCACCAAGCAGGTCGCGTACGCCTGGGCCGTCGCCGTGCCGCCGGAGGAGGGCGGCGCGCTGCTGCGGCGCCTCGGGCTGGGCGACGCCGCGGTGGACGCGGCGGCGGAGGCAGGCGCGTTTGGTCACGCGTTCCAGCTCGCGCAGGTGCGAAAAGTAATCCTTGCGTGAGCTGCTCTGCATACCTGATGAGACCGTGCAAGCAAGGGGGGATTGCGCGGCGGGTGCCGCCGTCGTGTGACAATTCGCGGCCGAGACACGCCAGCGTTGCTGGTGCGCTCGTGGACTGCTCTTGAATCTATGGTGCAAGGAGCGGGCGCACGCCTGCATGCGCGCTCCCTTTCACAGGTCGCCGCCCCACAGCGGATGGCGGACGTGCACCTGAAGCACGCCATGTATTTGGAGGACAACGGCCGCTTCAACGAGGCCGAGGTGGAGTTTGTCAACGCGGGTGCGCAGCGGGGCCCGGGGGGCGCGGGGCTCGGGCGGCAAGCGCGCTGCTGGCTTGATCGGCGTGCCTGCCTTGTGGGTGGAGCGCTTGGTTCCCGACGCCTGCATTGGCAGCTCAGCCAGGCGGGCTGAGCCCCGGCTTGAGCTATTCTTCTTGCTAAACCCCAAACCCTGCAAAGCCCTTGAAGTCGTGACAGCCCTCGATCGCCTTTGACGGAATGCCACCCCCAGGCAAGCCGCGGGAGGCAATAGACATGTACATCCACGCCCAGGACTGGGAGGCCGCGCTGCGAGTCGCGGAGGGCCATGAGCCCGAGTCTGTGGGCGACGTGCTGGCGGCGCAGGTGGGGGCCGGGCCGCTGCTCCGCCGCACTGGCATGGCCGGTGCGCGGTGGATGCAGAGGGGCGAGAGATGGTTGTGGTGGTCAGCAGTGGTCGCAAATGAGAGGGGGTGACTGGTTTGATCTGTCCCCTTCTTGCTGTTGCAAGATCAGGACGTCTGGCAGCTTTGCAGAATCAGATGTCTGTGCTTCCAGCAGCTTTCCGGGCTTAAACCCTGGCTCTGGCGACAACACGCACATTCAAAATCTCAAAACTTCACACCCGCTATGCGTGCCGGCCCAAGGCCCAAGCGCTGGCGGACTCGGGGCAGCTGAGCGCGGCGGAGTCGGTGTTCCTCAAGGCCCGCCGCCCCGAGGCTGCGCTGCAGATGTACCGCGCCGCGAGCCAGTGGGCGGCGGCGCTGCGGGTCGCGGAGGCGTACGCGCCGGCCAGGGTGGCGGGGCTGCACCTCGAGATGGCGGCAGCCATGGCGCAGCAGGGGCAAGGTGCGGGGCGTTTTTTCATGGCAATCACACCATGATGTCAATTGATCTTGTGATGCAAGTTAAAGGGGTGTGGGCTGGAGGGGTGCAGACTAGCATTGTTCAGCACCTCTAAATCCAGGATGATCTGAGTCAGAGTCAGCCGGCAGCGGCGTCACGATGCGGGGTGAGGCCTGCGCCCGCGTCGCCAAATCAAACCGCCCCCTATCATCACTAGCACAACCCGCAAAACACCGCCACAGGCGGCGCCGGCGGCGGCGTGGCGGCGGCGGTCGCGCGCGCCCAGGCGTTCGAGCGCGGCAACGACTACGCGCGCGCCGTGGAGGCGTACTTGTCCCCCAGCGCGGAGGGCGCGGCGGCGGCGGACGTTGATGTCCTGCAGCGCTGCTGGGAGGCGGGGCTGGCCCTGGCGGCGCGACATCAGGTGGGCTTTGCCTGTGGTTGGGCTCTGACTGTGGATGCTTTGACCTGTGCTTTGGTTGGTGGTCGGTGATTAATGCTTGGTGATTGGTTTTTGGTGGTTGGTGGCTGATAGAGCCACAGATACAAGGCTTGGAATCAGGGGCAAGCGACACATGTGCATGCATACTGCGGTGCTCGCACGGGATCAAGAGTCCCGAGGGCACCATCCAATCGGCGGTCTGATCGCGCCTCGCTCGGCTCCCCCGCGGCGCAGCGCCACCGTGTGGGTGACGTGGCGGCCGCCGTGGCGGCGCGGCTGGTGGGCGCGGGGCGGGTGGGGGCCGCGGTGGACGTCTTGGAGGGCGTCGGCGATGTGCAGGGTGAGAGGGCGGCCACCGCTCAAACGCGCCCTCCCTCCAAAGCGCCTATGCGGGGGCGCCTGGAACGATGGCTCTTGGCTTCTGTGAAATGCCGCTATGACCAGCCGCAGCGCCAGAGAACTATCCTCTAATGAGTGGCGTCAAGAAAGGCGTCCTTCCGCCTGCAGCTGACCATCCGCCGCTCCTCACTCGTTCCTTCAAAGTAACGCCCCCGTCCGGCCCGCCCCCGCCCGCCCTCACGCGCCCCGCCGCCGCGCCAAGGCGCCGCTGAGGCCGCCGTCTCCGGCAGCCTTTTTGACCGCGCGCGCGCGCTTGCGGCCGGCAACCCCCAGCTGCTGCGCCTCGTGGACGAACGCCACACCGCCGCCCTGGTGGCCGCCAACGACGCCGACGAGCTCGCGGCGCGCGGCAACGTGGCGGCGGCTGTGGAGATGTATGCCGCGCAGGGCAACTGGGAGCGCGCGCACGAGCTGGTGAGTGGCCGCCCCCGCGGCGCGAGGCCGCGGGGAGTCTGTCTCGGGTTGCTGGGATGGGCGCATCCATCGACGCAAAAGCGGCTGCGCGGGCAAGGATGGTCCCTGACCTGTTGATGACCTTCAACCACCGTCAAAAAGCAGTCCAAGGTGCTGTACTAGATGGACTATTCTTTGACCAATACAATGTGTTTGATCGCCCCATTTGCCTTGCGGCGGTGGTGCTGCTCCCCCCTCTCACGTCCCACCACCCCAGGCAGCCCAAGACGGCCCCGAGCTCGCCGCCGCCACCGCGGCGCGCCACGCGCAGCTGCTGCTGCGCCAGGGCGACGCCGCCGCCGCGGCCGCCGCGCTCGCGCGGCGCGGCGTCGGCGCGGCGGACGCGTCGCTGCTGGCGGTTTACAGGGAGGTTGCCCTGGAAGTTCTGGGGGCGCCCCAGGCGGCGAGGGACACCCAAGCTGAGCAGGACGTCAGGCGCGTTTGGGCCCTGAGTGGCTGCGCCGATGCAGGAGCGCCGCCGGACGGGCAGGTGCCTTGCGAAAGCTCGCCGTTTACGCACTGAGTTGCAGCAGCAACGGGGCAAGACGACGCCACAAGTCGCATCTACTGGTTGCAGTAGAGCCCGTGCGTCGCCTCTTTTCACCCCTCAGCCTTGTGCGGTTGGCCCGTCCCTTCCCTGCCCGTCGCCCATCCCAGGGACGTCCTGCGCCAAGTGCTGCAGCAGCTGGAGCTGGCAGCCACCACCAGGAAGAGGGTGCGTGCACTGCTTTAGGAGAAGGGGGCGCGCCTCCGCACTTGAATTTGGATGGGCAGCGGTGGTCAGGCAGCCATGCGCACGTGCGTCCACGCGCATGCACACGTGCAATGCCTCGCTCAACCCTGCAATAAAATGGTCTGTGCCCATCACAGGACTCTGAAGAGTTTAGCCGCCTCTTCTGGGCGGCGCACCACGTGTCCTGCGCGTCGCGCTCCAAGGCCGCCGGCCTGTCGGAGCTCGCCGCGCGGCAGCTGACGGCGGCGCTGAGATACGTGGGGGTGCTGCCTGCAGACAGGTGCGAGCGCGGGGTGGGCCAGGAGCGAGCCCAGGGTGCCCCGGGCCGCATCTGAGCTGTGCGCAGGGGCATCTGACGGGCAAAGTAAGGGGTCGCGCAGTCATGCGCAGGTGGCGGGGAGGACACACGCAGCCAGGCGCAGGCACTCAGGCAGCAGCTGATTGGCTTCATGGTAGCCATGCGCGCGACCCGAGAGGCGCACCAGCCGGTTTGCCTCAAGGCTGCCGGAACAAGTAAGAACAGCCAATGTTGTCTGACGCACAACTCAGCACGTGTGTAAACGGCCCGCCCTCGGCCGCCCAGGGCATTCTTCGAGGCGGGCGCCGCGTGGCGCGCGGCGGGCCGCCCCAGCATGGCGTTCGTCCTGCTCAACCGGTACCTCGATATAGAAGACGCCGCAGATGAGGCGGGGGGCGGCGGCGGCGCGCAGCTGCCGCTCGAGGGGGCGGACTTTGTGGGCACTGATATTCCGAGGGACGCGCCGCTGCCGGCGCACCACTACTGCGACGAGAGGACGAGGGAGGAGGTGCGGGGATCGGTGGCGGCGCGATGGGGGGATGTGTCGGGCGGCTCGGTGCTTTGCTGCATTGCATGCAACCAGCGCGTGGCTGTTGCGCTCCCCGGCACTCCGTCCACTCGCAGGTCTTACCACACACCTTGCCTTTCCACCTGCTCTTGACGCCTCTCTGCTCGTAGCAACCCTCCCCATCCCCCTCTAGAACCCCTCCTAGTTCCCTGGGCAGTGTTTACCCC